GTCCAAAGAATCCCCGAAAATAAAACTTGTCAAGTTTTGCTACCCGCATTATTTTAACCCCCATTTTATTTTATCTTATTTTTTTTGCCAGCAAAATCTCAACTACGCCAATCGTCGCTGGACGAGTTTATTCCCTATAAGGGCTGGAAACTTTATTTCTCTGAAGGTATTTTTAAACCATAATTATATATCAAATGTTTTCTTCTTGGTTTTTTTTTTCCCCTAGAATTGCTTATATGCGTTGTTAGTACAGTTCTAAGTTCAACAGAAAGCAACCAAAATTCATATATCTTGTATAAAAACATGAATGCAATACAAACTTGCATACTCTATTCTCTGTGGGCTGCAAACCTTGGAAATAAATCCTTAAGAGCATAAAATGTGATGTCTTTTAAACCTATTCAGTTATGCAGATAAAACCTCCAACCTGTCAAAGACTGGAATAAATATATCTCTGCTGTACTTCCCTTGATCATATGTACTTGTCCTGTGTTATCTTGTGTAAAGCTCTGTTTTGTAACAAGCCTTACAGTGGAACATCACTGTGATACTGTAGTTTTGGAATGCAGGAAAATAATAGAAATGATGTGTTTATGTATTTTGTGAAACAGAATAAATTATTTCTGTCAGTTACTGATGTGGTATGTTTCTAACTAGCTTATGCTGACAAGTCTCCTTTTGTCCAGAAGACTCAAGCTTTTGAGAAGTTTTTCATGCAACGCATTGAACTTTATGATAAGGTAAAACCAAACAAAAACATACCCCACCCCAACAACCTATTATTGATATAGGAACATTACAAATTTTGTGTATTTTTCCATTAGCAATAATCATCATAGATGTGAAATGTTTGTGATTTGGATGTGTTGTGCTTCTGATTTGAAGTGTATTTTGTAACTTACCATGTTTCACAGGATGAAATAGAAAGAAAAGGAAGTATTCTTGTGGATTATAAGGAACTAATACAAGACAGAGAATTGACTAAATCAATACCAAATATATGTACTGAATTAAGGGATATGCCTCAGAAAATACTGCACTGTATGGGTCTGGCAATTCATCAGGTAAATATGATATTCTAATACATAGAAGCATAACCCTCACAACACGAAAGCATCAGTAAGACTCAAGAGCAATTATGTCATAAACCCCAAATGTCTATGTTTTTCTCTCTTATGGGAAATTACTCTTTATTTAAAACTCAAATCCTTTCATCTATCCCATTTCTGTATGGCCCACAAAATCACATTTTTGAAAGTGCTTTGGTCTTGGTGCATTTTGCTTATTCATTGTTAAAGCAGCTGACTAAAACTAAATGTAGTTCTAACACACTCTGGGTTGGGAGTTCTAATTTCTGGGGTTTTTTTAATATATTGTGAGTTATTTGTGCTGTGTGTCCCCCACCACACACAGCAGAACCATGGCTGTTGGGTGAATGGTGGGCAGATTCAAGAATTCCTGGCCCTGTTCAGTGTCTCTCAAAGTAGCATTTCAGTGCTTGTTGACAAAGTTCAGCTGTTTATGCCTTAGTCTTTTTGACCACAGCATTAAAGATTATTGTATACATTTGTTTTTAATTAAAGAAAAATAATCAAATATAACAAATATGTCGATTAAGCTTAAAACCTCCCAGAAGCAAAAATACATTGTTTAGTGGCGTGTCACTGGACAGCAAAGACTTCAGCAGGTGAATCTGATTGTAAGGGGTGCTAAGTGAAATTGATAGCAAACTGAATCCATGTTGCATGGCACACTGTGTCTGCCTTTCTGTTCCACCTAGGTGCTAACCAAGGACCTGGAGAGGCATGCTGCAGAGCTGCAGGTGCAGGAAGGATTACCACTGAATGGAGATCCTATAATAAATGTGCCTCTCATTCATGCGAGGTATTGGATGTTGAGTTGGGTTTTTTTTTTGCCAAGGAAGAGCTATTTGATTCTTGTCCAGTTGTTGCCAGTGGCCATGCATGGTGCTGAAGGCTTATGTATTTATTGAGAGACTTGACTCTCTGAAGCTGTTTCCGGAAGACTCTACATTTTGCTTTTTTTCTTCGGTATGACAAAGGCTAAACTGGCCTTGTGAGGAAAAAAGTGAAGTGAAATCTGCTTGTACAAGCTTGTACAAACAGCTTGTGACTGGAAAAGCTCCTAAGTAGAGAAGTAACTCGTAACTAGAATATTTGTTCTATAAAACATGTATTGATTAAAAGCAGAACTATTTTAATTTCTGTCTACTGGAGAAGCTAGGAAGTGATTATGATTAGCTTTTTGTTAGCAAAAGGCACATCTTTATAAGAAGGAGGCTAATTTGGAGCATGTGGACATAAACTGCAGCTGGTAATATTTAGTATTCCTTATATGAATGTTTTGACAGTGGCGTATGAGGATGTGTTGTTTCTTATTGCCTTATATATATTAAATGATTGTTATGGGAAAGCAGCATGTTTAGGCATAGCAAGTGGATTTAGTTTGGGGGTTTGTTGCCCTAAGATATATTTTTAAGTTTTGCACCTTATAAAACTGCACCCTTTCAATTACAGTCTTTAGGAGAATCTTGTGTCCAAAAAAGGTGTATAAAAGCTCTCAGATTCTATGAGACAGTTATAGAGCATTATCCTGTAGAGGAAATCATTCAATAAGTCAATAAAATATGCTTCTAAAATGGTTTTGCACCACCATGTAATGGGTCCTAAGCTGAGGGAGCAGGGGAAGCCCTGCATGTCAGGAACCATACTCTTACTGGTGCCCAGTGACAGGACAAGGGACAGTGGATACGAATTAAAACACTTAAAATTGCATGTGAACCCTATTTTACTGTGAGAGAGGTTGTGTAGTCTCCATCCATGAATATATTCAAAACTCAGCTGGACATGGACCTGGGCAACCTGCTCTACCTGGCCCCGCTTGAGCAGGAGGGTCAGGCTAGATGGTCCTATGAGGTCCATTCCACGACAAACAATTATGTTTGAAGTTTTATTCTGAACTATTTGTCTACGTACTCTTTATTGTCCTTAACAAGGTGCAGCGTGTTGTACCTGATGACAGGTTCATATACCTGTGAAACACAAAAACTCACCCTTCCTTTTGGAGCACAGGCATAATAAAGGATGCCTCTGTGTCACAATTCTGAAATCCAGTCTTTATCTGAAATAATGGAGAGATAGAGTTATAGATGAGTATAAAGTAGTTTCTGTTGTATTGCTGATCTCAGTTGTTCACAGGAGGGAGGTGTCACTATATAAACAAACTGTACAGCTGTTGAGGTATATACATTTGGAGAATCTTAAATGTTATGCTGTTTTCTAGAACAAGAATCAAAGACTATGCCACGGACTCACCAACAAAATATTCCTAACCATTTTTTCTGAATTGCTGTCTTTAAGTGGGAGTAGGAATTTTTGTTAATGTTTGAATGGGTTTGAGGGGTTTTGGGGGGTTTCTTTTTGTTCTACATTTGTGTGTACTAACCTCTCAAAATGTTAATGCTTAACTTTTGTGCAGGGTGTACAACTATGATCCACTAACTCAGCTGAAAAACGTTCGGGCCAACTGCTATGGCAAGTACATTGCCTTGCGTGGCACTGTTGTGCGTGTCAGTAACATTAAGCCTCTGTGCACTAAGCTGGCTTTTGTGTGTGGCACATGTGGAGATGTTCAGTGTGTTCCTCTCCCTGATGGCAAGTATCAACTTCCATCCAAGGTAAGTTAAAACCATTTAACTTCATACTTCTCCCTTATCTGTTGTGATTTGACAGAAAGCAGCACCACTGCTATTAAAAAAAATAATTACAAAATCTAGTCTTTAAAGCTAGGTTAAGCAACTGACACACCAGACAAAAAATTAAACACACCGTGCAACTTTTATTACTTCATAC